AAGTGAGCTAAGCCCAGTGGTAAATCAAATAATTTATTACTGAAATAGCCCAACAGGCGGTTGGGAGCTCACGGCGCCACTGCACGAGCGGAAGGGCGGGGAGGGGGTGTGGCAGGCGGTGAGAGGGATGTCACTCTATGACTGAATTTGGAGCCGAACGAGGTCAAATGCATCGAAGGAAGCGCGTATTACTCTTATTACGGTTGGTCTGGGGAGTGAATGACGACATGGCCATCATTGCAGTCGTGGAATCTGTTTTGAATATACACACACACACACGCGTCTGCCTTGTTTTCCGAACTCCTATGTGATGGCGCGACCGGTCGGCGTTGCAAAGCAAGCAGTCCGGCTGCCCGTACGTCGCTATGGGTAAGAAGGTGGAGCTATACTACCGGTAGCAGTCGCCCTGGGGCTACCGGTCTGTCCCGCTTACACGAATTAAGAGATATTGACCGTAGATAGGACAGATCAACGATCAGAATCTCGTAATCCGTGCAAGTGGGACCTTGCCCCAGCAGTGGCGAGGGGCGAAATATAACGGTGGTGGTGACCACGCAGGGGAGGACCTACAAGGCAGAGCGGTACATTCAGGATTTCGGTTCGATCTGAATGCATCTAGCCCACAGTCTCGTGCACATACATACAGAACGTTTCTGTCGTTTAGCGAGGGCCTACCAGTGGCTTGCATTGCACCCCTTCTTCGGAAAGGCTCTCGCACGCCCTCAGCTCATGTGGTTTCGCGCCACACCACCCTCGAAATGTGTCAAAATGAGAATGAACTTTCCCCTAGTCCATGGCCACATGCACCCGCCACATTTTCGTCTTTTCTACATTTTTCACTTTCCGAGAGTTGTGTGGCGAGGCCGCAAGTGGGACCTCTCGCCCTCAGTAGTGCTTCGATTTTCTTCCTTGCACGTAGGTGCTCACCCCTGGGACTGTTATTAATTTTCTTACCGTGATTTATTACCGTGTCTCGTGTTTCTCTGATTGATTTTTGATTACTCCTCCCCGCGCAGTGGCGCGAACGGGCACGCACTCCCCAAAAAAATAAAAAAATATAAAATGAAAAAAAAAGAACGGTCACGCGCCGGTGTCAGTGTCATCGGCGGAATTTCCTTTGCGCGTGCTCGGCGGTTGCGGCTCAGCTTTCGAAATCCCGATCGGGGTGCCGTGTGGACGGACAGAGAGGGATTGGGATGACGAGCGACCAGGGGCTACCGGTGGGTCCCACTTGCACGAATTAAGAGATAGAGACCGTAGATAGCCGAGAGAGATCAACGGCCGAAATCTCCTAATCCGTGCAAGTGGGACCTTTCCCCCGACTGGAGGGATTGAGATGACGAGCGACCAGGGGGGAGGGAGTGGGATGACGAGCCAGGGGGGAGGGAGTGGGATGACGAGCGACCAGGGGGGAGGGATTGGGATGACGAGCGTCCAGGGGGGAGGGATTGGGATGACGAGCGACCAGGGGGGAGGGATTGGGATGACGAGCGTCCAGGGGGGAGGGATTGGGATGACGAGCGTCCAGGGGGGAGGGATTGGGATGACGAGCGACCCGGGGGCTAGGTTCCACTTACACCGTAGGTAGCAAAGATCAACGGCCAGAATCGCTTAATCCGTGCAAGTGGGACCTTGCCGCCGACCCATCCACCAGGCGCGAGACCGTGGAGAGGGGTTGGTATCGTGCATATCTGGGGCAAGGTCCCACTTGCATGGATTACGAGATTCTGACCGTTGATCTGTCCTATCTACGGTCAGTATCTCTTAATTCGTGTAAGTGGGACCTAGCCCCTGATCGTTGATTCGCAGTCGATTCGCAAGATGGACGGTTTTGTGACGTGAAGAATCCCGGCGGCGGGATCCGCCCGCGCCGCACGGGATACGAGATACGGTCGGCGCGGCTTGCCGCTACCGGGGAGACGGCAGCACAGTCGACTCTGGGCAGATACTTACACGGGAACTCTTCTTACGCATTTCTGGACGCAATTAGGGTCAGATGCATGGATGTAAGGCCACAATTATCAAGGCTACAATTACTGTCACATGCATCGAAGATTGTGCTACGTAGTGTGAGTATGCTCTCTTGAGTAGTTGAAGCGCGAGGACGTGAGGGCTTTGGTGAAAGGCCCCACGCGTATCGCGGAAGCGATTAGGAGTGGGGGGGGGTCCGCGCCAGGTCGCGCAAGGTCGCGCAATCTTGCGCTATCATCTCGCGGAGGCTCGCGGAGGCTCGCGGAGGGCCAGCAAGGTCGCGCAAGGTCGCGGAGGCCCGGAGGCCCCGGCGGGATAGCTATTGGACGAAGTGCCCGCGCATTCGCGTCGGTTGTCTGCAGTGGATACGACAAACCACTGATGAAAACGAATCAATACGCTTCCACGTGTCCAGAGGATGACGTGGGCTCTGACGTGTCATGCAAGCGCACACGTCTCGACAGAGATGGCATTATTATAGTCTTCTTGCACCTGTCCGATGTTGCAGTTCCAATCTCATGAAGCGGGGCCAGGGAAGAGGATGGGCACTTGTCATAGCCAGCAGTTATGGCCACGTGTAGTCAGTCTCGTTTGTGAGGAAAGGAGGGGGGAGGAGGTATTATGGTGACGCAGAACGTGCGACCGCGGTCGGAGACGTGACCGCTGCTGTCCGACGCGGCGGAGCCCGACAAGTCGCTAATTAAGCCCCACGTAGACACGTCAAGTTGTTGAGCTTGTCACACAGTTTGAGTGATTGGAGGCTAGAATCGAGATGGTGATGTGATTGGTGTCGAGGAGTCATTCGATACGTGGTCTCTGAGGAGGTCCCACAGAGCTGTACGCTTGTCGGAGATGGTTGATGGGAGAGAGCGGGGAAAGGGAGATGGTGGTGTGGGGGAGAGCGCGGGAACGGAGGGAGAATGTTTGTGACACCGGGGAGCTGGTCATGTCTGCGTAGAAAGTGCCATTGATTGCGAAACGACGGAACGGAACGGTCCCGTCGGGCGCGTCCGTTTGCCTCTTTCCAGTGCTTTGAAGCACTGGAAAGGTACCCCAACTGTTTAATTGATGATCGTTCTTTTCGAGAGGGGCGGGTCGCGCTGCTTTTCTAAAACCTACTACGCCACTTACTGGCTATAAAGACGTGCACGCACGCAGGTGATAGAGTGGTGGGTTTGAAGGAGAACTAGGAGTGCTTGTGTGTGTGTGTGCTGTCTCTTATACACATCTAGATGTGTATAAGAGACAGGTTCCATTGATTTCTCTACCTTAGGGCTGTGCTCCCCTATCCGTATGGCATGTGGGCTGAGGCCCTTGGCTGATCTTCTCCCTACTTTTGTTCGCAGCCCGTCAGGGATGCGTTTTCCCCCCCTCAGACATTTTAACGTTCAACGTCATTTTAATGTCGTGGTCGTCGGGAGGGTGGGCATTCTGAGGTTTTGGGGCCTTGCAAGGGCCAGGACCGCGTAGGACCGGTAGCTGCGCGGAGGAGGCTGAGGAGGCCGCGGTCCTGAAGCCTTTTTCGAAATTGAAACGGTGCGGGTGCACTTTTCTCGAATACCACASTTTCCTCGAATAGAAAATGTACAGGTTGTATTCGAATACAACCTGTACCCTTTCTATTCTATTCGGATTTCGAAAAGAAAAACTCTTGTATTCC